AGATAAATATGATTGAAAGTACTTTTATTTGTAAATTCCACTTTTGCTTTAATAGAATTGTGTCTATATACTGTATATCAGACACTCACACAGAAACAGGTTGGATTAAGCTCACTAACAGTTAAAAAAGGCAAACCAGATCCTCGATCAGCGGCAGCCCGGGGCTCCATGTACCAGTGGTGCGTAAAGGTAGTGTGCGCCAGATTCCATGCACATAAGTTAGGAATATATCAATTCAAAACTAACATTGCGTGAAAACTGTGCATAAATATATGCACACAGGTCCTGAAACGGACCTAAATACAYTATATGACTCCACTGTTTTCTGGATATGAGGAGCATCTGACACGGTGTTATTTTTTTAGTTTTGGGTAAAAGCTCAAACAATGAACCACATTTAACCACAGACAACAAACAGAATAAGCTGAATAACCTAACACATGAACGACCTCTCCCTGTAAAATTTCTTATATATATAAACGTGTTACAGTCACCAGAGCCGAACTATGAATCTGAAGGAGAGGACTTCATAATTCTAAAATAAAAGTCCACAACTTCGCGGCAAAAACTCTAAAATGAAGCTCAGCCACTTCTTCACATCCGCTGTTTAATAAATAAAGCTCATAACTTCCTCTGTGTTGACAGTCATTTATTAAAGACGTCACGTGTATCTGGTTCATCAATCGCAGATAAATCTGGTGGTGGCATTATGGTGACTTCTTCAGGGTAACATCCTCCTGCAGGGGCAGGATTTGGGCAGGTCCTGCTCCCTAGTCGGTGATGGCGGCCTCAATTCTGAAGGTGCCGGTGCAGATTCAATGCCTCCCTCTGCCGTTATATTTGTGATGCTGTCAGTCACCAAGTCTTCATCCACTCTTCGTTTTAAAAAAATTGAAATTGACATTTGTTTTGCCATTTCTAATTTGCATTTACGGCGCACATTTGTAAAACAGTTAGCCCTAGCTTGTTTACAGCTCTGGTTTGAATTTGGAGCGTAAAGGTCATGTGATGCGAAACAGCCAATGAGA